GTTTCATCTGAGCAGGCTTCCAGATGGGCCGTACCACGATACAACTGCAGAATCGTGGATCAACTGTGATACAACCACTGCCAGCCTTCCGCCACCGTTGTAACATCGCGACTGGCTGCTCGACAAATGCTACGCCAACCCATCTTGGGAAAAAATATTGTGCCAACAACCACCTGCCTCTGGGATATCTGCACCTGTAGCATGCGCTTCCTCCGGGGCCGCCGCGATTGCCAAACGTCCCCGCGCCCGTGACAACAGCGCCCATGCCGCTGCAACATCGCTGTGGCCATCTTTCGGCATGTCCAGACAAGCGTGCGATATAACTCTATGTGTCGTCCAATCAGCAGCTCGGCGCAGAGGGCCCATGACGCGTTTGGCTGGTAGCGCGGGCGCCACCGTATAGATGAAGCACATGATCTTCCTGCCGTTGTCAATGCTGTCCATCGCAACTGGTCTGCGTGGCCTGCGAGACCATGACGTGTCAGCCTGGGCGCCTCTGAAACCACGCAGCGCCTGATCATTGAGAGCGAAGTAGTCTATCGTGCTGAACCAAGTGCCAGCAAGACACGCAATCTGCTTTGGAAACGCTAACGTGGTGTTCACAAGCCGTGGGGAACCTGAAGCCCCCAGCTCAGCGCGCTGCATGTTCCAATCCGCACCTGCGATGCAGGGTGCATTCGCCGTTGAGAAGATCAGTCCAATCATGCTTAATATGTCACTGTTGACCTCCGTCGCGCCAATCGAGTGCTCGGGGTACGCGTTGGCAATATGCACATCGCGCCATCCAAGCAAATCCGCCACATGGCGTTGACACCGGATGGGGTGTACTTGCGTCGGCCGCTCACATGGTCCTCGAAGCCCCAGGCCACCGCGAACCGCAACTGCGACTCCTGCCGAAGTAGTGCGGCGTCGGGTAGATCGCGCAGGCAGCGCCCTCATCTTCCAACCTCTAACCGCACACCAGGTATATAAAGATTCCACGTCCTCGTCGATGTAACATATCTCCTGCAGCAGCAGTACATGGACACGAGAACGTGCGATCTTATCCTGAATCGTTTACTTGCCACCATTGCCGTTGAAAGTCTCAAGGTGATAGCGGCCTGTGCAGTCTGGTGTCGTCTCGGGCACCTTACGGCCAAAACTAGCGGGCAGCCCAATCACTCTGACATCGACGTAGTCTTGGTGCGCCAGGTCCCTCGATGTCCAGATTCCATCCGGAAATTCGCTGTTTCTTGGCCTTCTCTCGCAGGGCGCTCTGGAATTTTGGGGAATCATTGCTTGTCCCGTGGTCAAACAAGTAACGCAACTCATCCTCTCCGAGATCATCACATGCTCTCTTGGGGGCGGGCTCGGGCGCGGCAGCGCCGATAGGATTGCCAGACTCGTTTGCGTGAGCACCCGCAGGAGGAGTAGCGTGAGCAGTCCTGGTCGCACCCGCCTTGATCTTCTGCAAAAATGACAGAATTGAGGCCCACGCTGTAGACCCCTAAAACGTCTTCAGCTCGTCGTCCTCCGCGTCATCGGACGTAACATCCAGCTCCGCGCCCATGGCCTCTGAGTCCTTCTGCTGCGGGGCGTCCGCTGCCAGCGCGGCTGCGGACTTCTTGTACTCGGCCTCAAACGCGGTGACCTCTGCCTGCTTGGACTCCAGCTGGGTTTTCCGAGCCTGCACCGACAACTGCAACTTCTGCATATGTTGATCCTTCTCCTCCAGATCCGTCTGCATCTTGTCGCGCGCGAGTTTGGCCTCGTGCAGGTCCTGCGCTGTCCTGCGGTAGGCGATCTCAGGCGTGCTTCTGCTGATCCTTGATCTCCTTGACCTCGGCAACCGTCGCCGCCCTGATTGGGTCGCTCTCGTCGCCAGGGAAAGTCTTGAGCGCCCCCTCGTACATGACCAACTGCGCCGGTAACTTCTCGCGCTTCGTCTTGTCATCATCTTCCTCCTTGATGGACTGTTTCGTTTCTGTCGTCGGTGGCGGCCCAATGCACAACGGAATCGACTTGGTTGACGATGGTGACGCTCCGTCAGCTGATCCGCCACTCGAGCCACTCGAGGTGAGTTGCTCGCATTTTCTCAAGTTCAGCAAACTGCTTTGACGTCGCATCATTCGTTGTGTTCTCCCCCTTCGGCGGTGAGCCCGCTCCCAGAACAATCTCATGTTGACGTTCCCATGCGAGCTTCCTGATCCGAAGAGGTGCCTCATTCCCACATTGACATCGGATCCTCGATGCCCACTTCGCCGAGGCTGCGCATCGTCCACATCCCCACGTCGGCCGCCTCGGCCCGCGGAGCACCGCGGGGGCAGGCGGAGGCGGGGCTCCAGGCGCCATGGCGGGGGCGCCTTCTTCGTTGGTGATTACCTCTGCCTCCAGAAGGAGGCGAAAGCGTGTACAAGCCAGAAGGCTCGCTGCAGCGGTGCCGTTCTGACTCCAGCTGCAGCAAGCGCAAACCTGCGCCAGAACGGCTGTGTGGGAACAGGAAGAAGAGGAGGAGGAGGAGGAGGAGGAGGGATGAGGAGGAGGATAAAGAGGAGAAGAGGGATGAGGAGGAGGGGAGAGAAGGATAATGAGGAGCAGGGACGAGGTGGAAGGAAGAGGGATGATAATGGGGGAGGGTGAAGGGGGAGGAGGAAAGGGATAATTAGGACGATGGAGGAAGAGAGAGGAGGAAGACTTGGAGAGAGGAGGAGGAATGAGTCGTTCGACTCATGGTACTCTTTAGCATCATCATCATCATCATCATCATCATCATCATCATCATCATCATCATCATCATCATCATCATCATCATATCATCATCATCATCATCATCATCATCATCATCTTCATCGTCGTCGTCCGCCTCAGGATCAGCATCAGCACCATCGTCATCATCATCATCAGCAGCAGCATAAGCATCATCATCATCATCATCATCATCATCATCATCATCAACAACATCCACACCATCACTATCCTCCGCATCGTCATCCTCTTCCTCATCATCAAAGTGGTCGTGGATGGGGAGGAATACGCGAAGCGTCACGACCTGCCCTGTAGTCTCCCCGTCTCCCCGAACGCCTGGTCCGACCAAGCCCCTCCCCCCTTCCCCTCAGGAAGACCTCGATGCTTGACGTTCGGCGGCTTTCGAATGCACCAGAAATGTGGGGCCCAACCTTGGGATGCACGACGGGAAGGCGTCCACCCTCGATAGGGGTGTGTCCGAGTAGCCTCATTGGGGTGTATCCCAGGGTTTGCCCCTTTCTCTGAGCGGCCAAGCTGTTCGGGCCGAGCTCGTGGGCTGGCGGAAAGATCGCCTGCGAGGCTCCACGACCACTGCTGCCCACTCCCCCCCTCCGCTCGATCCGACAAAGCTGAACCACGGGACACCGGTGAGATGTCCTCCAGCCCCCCCCCTACCCTTTGAAGGGCGCTGCTCCACCGCCTCCCCTTCCCAATCGGGGCAACGTTAACCATGAAAGGTCTTCAGGCCCCCCCGAATAAGGGTAACTAGCGATTTTCTCGGTGGCCTGATTGAAGGACTGGGGTCCCACCAACAAGGGTAACTAATGATCTTTTACTGCGGAACCCGCCGCGCAACAACGACGACGACGAGGAGGAGGAGGAGGAGGGAGGAGGAGGAGGTTTCAGGACCAGTCCTATTCACCGCCGAGAGAAAAGGGGAGGGGGTAGGACCAAAATTAAAGACCTTTGGCGGTTAGGGGGGCCAGCTCAGGCGGGAACCATCGGCCTGGAATCAACGATGCATCGCCGACAGATCGGCGTTTGGCCCTCCGACGGCGAACCTCCACGGTCCTGGGCGGGGTGGGCTACGGGGCCCCTAGCGGCGCTGACTGGGCGGTTCGGGGTCGATGCGCCCCCCCCCCCCCTTGCCTGTGGCGCTGCCCTGACCGGGCTTGGCTCTCGAACCTTAACTCGGATCTCTGGCGGCCGCTCGGAACACCCTCGGCGAGGCGCAGCTGCTGGAGCGCACCCCGAAGCTAGAAATACGCCCAGGACCCGACGAGACCGACACCCCCTCTGAGCCCATCCCCCCCGAACGCTGCCCCCGATCCTGCTCATCCTCAGCCGTTGAGCAGGGACTGACCGTCCTGGTATAGGCAATCCACGAAATGTCTATTAGAGCCCAACGATGTGCGAATACCAAGAGCAATGTTCTCGCAATGCTGAGCTGGTGCATTAAACCAAGACGGTCTCAGCCAGGCATGTTCTAAAGCGATTTCGTGCGAAACGCTGAAGGTTATTAGAACATTCCTGGGTGGGCCTACTTTCAAATTCTCTGTTGCCGCAAAATGCAGAACTTGACAACGGTGCCGCCTCAACATGCCATGGATGCGAACAATTTACATTGGTGATCTCTATTTCGGCGACGGCACCTTTGGTGGACCACTAAATGCCCTCTGTGCACGATCGAGATTCGGTATGGGGCAGGCCTAATAACCGCTCGCCAGCAAGCATACCACGAAACGTTCTAAGAACTATGAAATGTTCCAAGTTCGAAGAACAGTGCTCTTAGAACATGGACTCAATGTATGACAACAAGCCAGTCTCAGGCATAAATGCTCAGAGAACCTTTCGTGCAAACCACAACAGCTTCGTAGAACATATCCTGTTGGGTCACCCAGGCACCGTCGTCGCCGCCGTCGTCGCCGTCGTCGTCGTGGCCGTCGTCCGTCGTCGATCGTCGATCCTCGATCGTCGATCCTCGACCGTCGTCGTCGTCGTCGTCGTCGTCGTCGTCCTCGTCGTCGTCGTCGTCGTCGTCGTCCATCGTCGCATCGTCATCGTCGTCGCATCGTCGTCATCGCCGTCGTCGTCGTCGTCGCCGTCGTCGCCACCGTCGTCGTCGCCACCGTCGTCGTCGTCGTCGTCGTCGTCGTCGTCGTCCTCATCGTCGTCAGGACGCTACGCCACTGCTCGAGGGCGACGTCCGCGGTCGAGGGCCCCGGCGACGCACACGCCGCTCGCGCGCGCACGCGGGCGATGCGGCGGCGGGCCGCCTCCCACGGACTCCTTGGAAGTGTGGGCGCTCCACCTGCCGGGCGGGGCTCTCCCTGGGGGGTGAGCCTCCGTTGGAGCCCCTTGTGAACCTCAGCGGCCCTTTCGACGGGGTGCCGTCCGGATTTTCGACCTAGCAAACGAGACCAGGACGAAGAAACATCCGGGGGATAATGAACCGAGAATCTCTGATATACCGCGGTTCTGGACGATGTCTCGGGCCCCGTGGCCTTCTCAGAACGTTCCAGAACGCTCTGAGAACGTTCCACGACGCTCTGGAATGGATCGATCCTCGTCCTAGCCCCGCCCGGCCATTATAAACGTGCTTTCGACGGGGCTTTGTCCAAATTTCGACACCTCTTCGCCCATTCGCCCGGATGGCGTCAAGGTTTGACACAGATGCCGACCAAATCCGGACAGCCCCCCAAAGCGCCAGGACAAACTCCCCCGCCCTCGTGGGGAAGAGCGAACTATTCTTTCCACGGAACCGAAGACATCTCTGAAATTCAGAGCTTGACGACCTCCACGGGACGCGAGTAACAACACGCAACCCACGAAGACAGTGCCAGGCAGCTGGAACGCTCGCGAAACCCATGCTGTGACATACAGTCACGATAGAAGAAAAAGGCCGACACAACATGCACGTTTTCTTACTCGGACTTTTGAACATTGGGTGGAAAAGGAAGGCGAGAGGGAGCTTTCGCTCCGGACCTCTGCTCAGCGCGACTGTTTGCAACACTGCGTCTTGTGGGGGAGGCTCCACCTGATTGAAACAGGCGCTCAAATCTACTCCATGGGGGGCTCCACCAAGTTCTACCCCATGGGGGCAGGGAGGGAAGAGGGGGCGGGAGGGCCCGCGCCGACCAGCAAAACAATGAACAAAAGGACACCCCAAACATAATTCCGACCGGTTATGTTGAATTATGGAACTGTTTTTTCTTCGCGCCCTTCACCCTTGCTTTAGCTCGGGCATGCCCCCGTGCAGGCGGATTCTGTAAGACATATGACAAACGGCCAAACGATATCTTGAAATAGTCACATGCGTTTCTTCAAACATTGTGGAATACAAGCGTCGCCTGGTATTTGTTTATATGTATACAACTATATTCGAATTTTCCTCATGCAATTTCAGCTGATGAAACGGAGGTTGGGGGGTGAGATCGCAGTGTAACGGGGTCCCCCCACCAGGAAATCGAGTTTCGAGTTCGTGTTCGTGCCGTGCGTGCGGGCGAGGCGAAGCTGCGTGGGCCAGCGACAAGAATTCACTCTGCTGTCGCTAGGGGTCCGCCAACACAAATGTTTCCCCCCCGGCCTTGTCAAGCGGTAGCCCACGTTGTCCCGTCGGTTGCCCGCCGGTTACTCATCATGGTTGCTCATCATTGTCCCGCCGGTTGCTGTCACGCCTGAGTGCCGCGTCGCGCAGCGGCAAACCGAACGAAACATGTCGCCCAAGCGAAGGAACACAAAAAATCCGCCACGTCATCCACACCATCATCGCCCATCAGCACCACGTTCATCACAGTTGTCGTCATGAGCCACCCCCCTCCCCCCACCCCCCACAACCTCCTTATCACCCGCAGGGTGGTCGTATAGGTAACAAGTCAGTTGGGGGCGCCTGTAGCGAAACATTAGTTCCCTTGCTCGGGCGAATCGCGGGGTGGCGCCCGCCAAATTGAAAATCATCGGCGGCGGCGCCCGTGATTACCGCCGACGCCCAACCGCCAACGAGAAGGCGACACACAACACAACCGGGGGGGAGGGGAAGGGGGCGGGAGGCAAAGGCGGCAGAAGCAGGGGCCGTGAGTCAGGGCGACACCTGCTCGAAATGAAGAAGAAGTGTTGTCGGCGCTCGCCCCCGCACTTTCCGTGATCTCTTCTGTTGAACCGATGCGTTTCCTTTTTGCCCTGGCCGCAGCCAGAGGGGGCGCCAGCCTGCCTGCCTCGGCGGCGCGTCCGGGGAGGGAAGTGAGAAGGAACGGGCCTTCTCCGAAGGCTCGGACATCCTCCAGCTTTCTCAGAAGGTCCCCGAGCCGTCCACGGAGACCAGAGGCCTTTTCAGACGCCCTGCCGCCTTCTGAGGAGACCTTCTCCTTCTCACTTCCCCTCATCGATGCGCCGCCGAGATTGGTTTTCGGGTCAGAACTCGGGTCTCCGGCGGCCGTTCGGGACGATCGGGGCACCCCTGGAACGCCCTCGGCGAGGCGCAGCCGCTGGGACGTATCCCGAGGCTGGAGCACCGCCGAGAACCGCTTTGAACGCGCGAGAACCTCGAAGCCGAAACTCCCAAACTCCACAAACTCGAGGGCTCGCCGCCGACTGTCGTGTCAGGGTCCAGCAAAAGCCCGAACCACCCCGCAGCAGCAGCAGCAGCAGCAGCAGCCGCAGCAGCAACAGCAGCAGCAGCACAACGCAGCAGCAGCAGCAGAACGCAAAGTGGTGCCGAGGAGAGGCCCTGGCCTGAACGCGCGAGAACCTCGAACCCGAAACTCCCTAACTCCACAAACTCGAAGGCTCGCCGCCGACTGTCGTGTCAGGATCCACCAAGAGCCTGAGCTCAAAGGACACCCCGCAGCAGCAGCAGCAGAGCGCAGCAGCAGCAGCAGCAGCAGCAGCAGCAGATCGCAAAACGGTGACGGAGAGGCCCTGGCCTGTCCAGCGGCGAGCCGGACACGGCGCTGGGCGAGGAGGGCTCCGGCCCCGGCGGCCGCATCAGCTGGATCAACTCCTGCCGCAGGGGAACGACAACTCTTAAGCAGTGGACGACCGTCCTGGCATTCCTGTAGGCCTACCACGACTTGTTCTTAGAACCCACACATGTTCGAAGAACAAGAACAATGTTCTTAGAACGCAAGCCCGATGTACTAAAAAAACAATCTCAGCCAGACATGTTCTAAGAACATTTCGTGCATACCACGAAAGGTTCTTAGAACATTCTTTGGTGGGACTATAGGCAAGCCAAGACGCTTCGCTACTGCTCGAAGCTCTGAGCACAAACCGGCCCTGGCCAGCCCCGTCCAGGACCCAGGACCTGTGTGAACGTCGGCGGCAAGCGAGGTGGGGGAGAGCGAAGGAGGCGGACTGATCGGAAGGCGGCGGAGCTTCTGAGAAGCCCTCCGGTCTTCTGCGAAACTTGCTGTGTCTTCGGGGGATGCTTAGAAATCTCTGAAAGCCGGGGGGCAACCGCGCGTTCTGAGAATTAGGGAACCGAGCTCTATACACCGACGCCTGTTCCTGCCCTGCACCGAAATTCGCACAGGAAAGCGGATCCTGGTGTATACAGGACTCTGGTGTATACATGTGTCGCTGGTTCCTGGGAAACGAAACAACAAGTATACACCACACCGCCCCGACGTCGTCCCCAACCCTCGAACAAATTCGGGGATTGAGAAACAACCCGCCACTGGCAATGTACATGTCCCAATTCCAGAAGAATGCCTCCTCCTTCTCACTTCCCCCCCGGCTCGCCGCCGAGAACGCCCTGGTGCCCTGAGCGGGCGGGGGTTCAGACACGCATTAGCAGTCTTAGTAGTAAAAGTCGTCGTCGCACAACTAGATGTAGTAATGGTGGTAGGAGTAGTAGCGAGCCAAGGTGGGAGCAGGGAGAATAATATTCGTCGTAGTCGTAGGCCATAGTAGGTAGTAGTTAGGTCGTACTACGCCGTACTGGGACGTGATGATGATACTAGTGCGGCTAGAAGTCTCAATAATGATGGTAACGGGTGGAACGCTAGCCGTAGTAGTAGAACAAGTAACGCGATTAGTGGCAGGGTAGTAGTATAAGCAGCAGTGGTAGAATTCCTGGTTCAGGCAATGGTATAGCTAGTAGAAGTAGTAGTAGTAGTAGTAGTAGTAGTAGTAGTAGTAGTAGTAGTAGTAGTAGTAGTAGTAGTAGTAGTAGTAGTAGTAGTAGTAGTAGTAGTAGTAGTAGTAGTAGTAGTAGTAGTAGTAGTAGTAGTACGAGTACTAGTAGTAATAATAGTCGTAGTAGTCGTAGTAGTCGTAGTAGTAGTAGTAGTAGTAGTAGTAGTAGTAGTAGTAGTAGTAGTAGTAGTAGTAGTAGTAGTAGTAGTAGTAGTAGTAGTAGTAGTAGTAGTAGTAGTAGTAGTAGTAGTAGTAGTAGTAGTAGTAGTAGTAGTAGTAGTAGTAGTAGTAGTAGTAGTAGTAGTAGTAGTAGTAGTAGTAGTAGTAGTAGTAGTAGTAGTAGTAGTAGTAGTAGTAGTAGTAGTAGTAGTAGTAGTAGTAATAATAGTCGTAGTAATAGTAGGGTTGCACATGGTCGTGTCGCTACAAACGTCACCTTCGTGTACTGTTCTTTGTTAAAGGCCTGAGAGAATTCCTACAAGGGGAA